ATTTGGAGAAAGCAAAAAAAAAAAAAACAAGAAAGACGTTTATTCGAAACTTTTGTCTGCTCCCTGCAGATCCGTCCCGAGGAAAGGGGCAGATCCGTCTCCCACGCAGGAAACGCTTTCATCCACAGCTGACAGCTTTTGTCCACAGTGGATTCGCCGTTTCATCCAATAGCAGCTGCCAATCGACTCCGGGTGTGAAAGCGCCCATTTTCCTCGTTCGCTCTCTTGCTGTCTTCCAGGTGTAAAAAAAAAAAAATAGCAGGAACGTCATCAGGCTTCCCCCCAAAGAGCTAATCCCACAGCTATTCTGTCACGTGCTGCTGCAATCAAGGGGGGGTCGGTGCTGTGCCCGTCAAGGGCCCTGTTATTCTTTCCGGAAAAGACCCAGGGCTCTCGATTGTCCTGGGATGCTTCATCCCATCCCAGGCTCCACGTTTACATCCTTTCGGGGGGGAGGGGGATTGACAGTATGACAGTACAACATTTTTGAAAGACAGTTTGATTATTTATACTATTTAGAACCTGGAGTAACTTGCCGCCCCCTCTCTCTCTCCTCTCCTCTCTCTCTCTCTCTCTCTGTCTCTCTCTCTCAGTGGTAAGTTATCCCAGCTGTCCTGGAGTGTTGTGCAAGGTGAAGAAAAAAAATGGGGGGGTGGGTTAGAGGAGGCAGAGAGGCGGACTGGGGGAAGGAAACAGGCCTGATTATCCAAATACAGTCATTAAAGGGGAAATGTGTTTTTGGAACTGTCAGGATGATTAATGGCAGAGAGCAAATCCTCACAAATGCTCTTGTTTAGTCTAACTGGCAGACACGATTCTGTCCGCTGATTTATGGCATGAGGCTGTGGTGTGGCGTGGAGAGCAGAGGAGAAGCAGGCTGGCGGGGGGGGGGGGGGCTGGCCAGCAGAGGGCAATTTGAGCAGGGTGCAGCCTGGCCCTTAAAAATAAGTCTGCCACAGCTTAAAAATAAAAAAGGACAGAGGAACGGCGAAAGGGCCGTTTCCAGAGCACGCTCAAACCCGGGTTCCGGTGACGCGGGGGTGCATTAACCTGATAGATCTTTTTATCTGTCTCCAATGCATCCGAGAGACGATCCTCCAGGATAATTAACATGCCACTAAATCGTATCCTGAGTCTCCATGGTCTTGCTGGCTGGGAGAAAACAAAAAACAAAAAACAAAAACGACTCCGACTTTCCTCATTTGTCACAACCTTTTAACAACCATCCCCCCCAAAGCAGGTACAAATGAAAGTGTCCAAACCAATCAGGAGGCCAGTGTCAGCACCTCATAGATAGTGCCAGGGGGTGCATGGGGGGACGGGGACGTGGGGGGTGGTACTGGCCGTCCCGTTTCTCACTGTATTACTTGTCAGGCCCATTTGCTCCAGTAAATTCAGCAAATTAACAACGGTTACGGGGAGCCCGCGAGGGGGGGGGAGTGTCGTTATGTAGTTAACGTTGCCTTTACCTTGACTTCTTCAGCTTCTTTGTTGCCATTGCTCACACACACACACACACACACACAAACACACACACACACACACACACGGGTCCTTGTAGATCACTTTCATTCTGCTAGTAAACTTCATATTACAATCTGCCCCCCTGCCTCCCCATTTTCACTGCGGGGAGGGTGATGAGATTAACGACACGGACAGTTTACGACGACAGGGATATCCGGAGGCTGACGTCACGCTGCAGACTCGACGCCGGGCATGCTGGGTACAGACCACTGTGCGGCTCCTGCGTCTTTCTATCTGTCCGTGGGAAACAGAACCCAGTTTTAATTCTGTTTTGATTTGGTGCGTCACCCAAGGAGCCTGGTTCTCTTACAGAATGTCACCTCCCCGGGGTCTGGCGAGGTTTATTGCATGCGTAGCTTATTCTGTGCTACATTAGGTGCCAGTGGAGAGCTTCTGGGTTTCCAATTTATCACCCTGGCAGGGCTGTGACTACCAGCTAAACGGATGTGAAATTATAAGCCAACTGACACCCTGAGCTGCACTCCCAGATTTCAGCTAGATAACGTCCCCTAAAGGGTTAATCGGCAATGAACGAACACCTTCACGAAAAATAAACTGAATAAAATATAAATCCACAGCCACACCCCCGCCTCCACATACCTTGACCATAATTCATTATGTCTAAAGCAGTCAGGAATAGTAACTCGATAACTCAGCAAACTTTATATGAACTGTAACCAATAAATCAAACATGTAAGATGGATGATGAAAAGAAAGTGATTTGGCTCCCCGGATGAAGTGAAGACAGAACACCGGGATGAACAGGACACACTGGGATACAAACGACAAACATGGATATGGACAGTGGCTGGTATATTTAAGGAAAAATCTAAATGTTGCGGCTTTATACCCTCAGAGGGTTTTTCGTTTCAGTAAAAACCTATATATATATATAAAAAAAAACCTATATAGCAATAAACTTTATTTGTGTTTAATAGAAGGCAGCAAGGTGGCTCAATGGGCAGGGCTGCCACCCCTCAGCACCAGATTTGGAGATTCAGGTCCTGTTTCAGCCTCCTTTACCTTTTTATTTATTTAACAGACACTTTTACCTAAAACGACACTTAGCATCGAGAAAGCAGCCGCTAACTGAAGAGCCTGCTGGTGAAATCATTCTGTGGAGCCTGATGTTTGAGTCAACAACCTCCTGATCACAGGTACAGCATCTGAGTCCTCTGGGTTCACAGGGGAAGCCCTCACAGACCTGCCCCCCCCCCCGGCAGCACGGCTTCCCATGGCTGAACCACATCCTGAACGGATGGGACAGCAGAAAATCTAATTTTTAAAATTTATCTTTTAGAATAAATTCATAATAATGCATCATTAGTCCTACAAGCGACGGGACAATATTAATAAAAATGGGGGCAGCCGAATAGACACTCCCGACCTCGTTTTTCAATAATAAAATAAAAGGTGCCAGTTAGACTAAAAGCCCCCCCAGCGTCCGCAGAGAGAGAACACAGATCACAGGCTAAGTGCCCATCGCCGCTGACAGCACATCTCACAGTTATCTATTCAGTATATAAAGCTTATAAACGAGGCCAAAGAGGTGAGTCAAGCCCGATATAATGACAGGGGCAAATAGGAAGGGTGGGGGCCTGGGGGGGGGGCTGGTGTACAATTAGGTTCCTCGGGGGCCAGATGTAAGAGAATACATTTTAATTAGCAGCTGATTAACACCTGAAACACCAGGTGAGGCGACTTCTGTAGAGCAATTAAAGAACAGGAGCAGACAGGCTCCTCAGTCCTGGGTTACAATCGCAGGTGTGCGAGGTCAGGATCACAATTCGCCACGGCGACAATTCCGTGCTGTTTACTTTTATATTTAGCTGCTTAGCTAAAACTTCCATCCAAAGCAAACACAACTGTACTGTATTCTTCATTTTTGAATGATTTCGTTACAGCTGGAGGTTTTACAGGAGTAATTCAAGTTAATTACCTTGTTGAAGGATACTCCTGGGACTTTGATTGGAAACCTATGAGTGCATGATCACGATGTTTCCTTCTGCCCCTTGGCCTCCCAAAAAAACAGCCAGATGTACGTTAAAGGGAGTCCAATCCAGACAGGTGTGCAAAGAGCGGAACTAAATTGGTTGTAATTAACTGATCTGTGATTTGGGAATTGTTTCACCTCGGCATCCAGGAAAATCTGCACAAGAAAGTAGAGAAATAATTGAAACTGCTTGTAGAGGTTCTCAGCTGTAGAACATGACGTTAGATACTCAAGACCGGATAAGCAGTTATGGAGGATGGTTCCAGGCCTCCTCAGCATTAGCAGTTTGGCCAGAAGTATGTAGATAGCTTCTGGGAGCAAGACAACATCTGTAAGAGATTGTTTACCCACGATGATATTAACCTGGGACAGTTTCCATTGTAGGATCCCAGCGGTACCCTGGTAGGAGATTGTTAAAATAATCACAGGCAATACGGACCCCTGTGACAACCTCACCACTTGCAGGATGTTCTCCTGCACTTGGCGTCCATGTTGCTCTTCACTCGACATCAAGGCTCCCCTTGAAATCCTGGCACTGACACTGGGCAAGTAAATAAAAAGAGAAACAGTCATTTGTCTGAATAATGGTGCCTCAACCACGCCAAGATTTCTATATTTATTGTGATCTATTCTGTCTTAACATCTACATCCTAGCAGAAAAGCAGAGTCCTTCATACTGGGTGCCCTACGTGGCTAAATGCTCTTTATTCATCTTGAATGTTTCTCAGAAGTACAATAATAGTGCTTCTCTTGACATCAGAACTTACAGGTTCTAATATCAAAAGGAGGAGTGTCTTCAACTTGATGACATCACTCAGCAAGATCCATCAGGTGGGGGCAGGTTGTACCACCGAGGGAACCAATCAGATGTGCCCAAGTGAGAGTGGCCATGGCATCTGAAAACCATAGAGACAGAGCGAGAGTGGAGAAGGGAAGCAGTCTGTGAGAGTATATAAAACCTGTCCTTCTCTAATATTTACAAGTATTTCCAGTGGATTACACACCTTCGGCTGGTATGGAGTTCCACCAAACAAACAGGATTTTTAAAAATCACTTTTCAACATTCTTTAATTATCTTCACCGCTCTAACGTGACGAGCGTCTCCATCATTATTATAATGGCCCAAAGCTGGGCTGCTTCCCCGCCTCCTTACTTCCAGGACACACCCCGAACCACAACTCCAAACCCGGAAAAAAAAACAGCAGCGCATACAGTTATCATCAGTTGGGCCCCCTTTCCCGGGAGGGGGTGCTTTCGGGTGCCGTCAGTTTCCACAGAGAGCCTCTGGCTGCGTCGCTCCGATATTAATGACAATAATAATATATCTGGCCACGCTAATTGTGGGGGAGGTGAAGGGGTGCAGGGCACACAGTTTCCAACTCTCCTGTAATAACTCTTTGGGAAAGGACATGAATCACCACTGCCTCCCTACCCCCCCCCCCTAAAGAGGGCAGGCTAATAAATGGTGAACAGCTGCAGAACCTGCTGATTTATTTCACTGGGCCTGCTGGAGAGGCTGTATATTCTGCTTTTATCCTCCCCGTGCCTTTTATCTGCATGCCGCTCTGTTCGGCTTCTCCGCTCTGTTCGGAGTCACCGGCGGCACCCCTTACCCCGCTATTCCGCTTCCCCCGGTTCCCCGCCAGGCGGAAGAAAGTGCACGAGGGGACACTTTTATTTACCCAAACTTGTTGTTATATACGAGCGTGCAGCAGGCACACACGGACACGCACACACAGGCAGACGCGCCGCCGTAAATCTCGCCGGGAGGAGAGCGCGGGCCGGCAGCCATATGGAAAAGTTATGCGAAGCTGGCGGAGGGACGGATGGATGTGGAGAGAGGGATGGAGCTTGGGAAAGAGAGAGAGCGATCGAGGGGGAGACGAGACGAGACGAGAGGCTGAGTGTTTACATGACCCCGCTGGAAATAGACATTCACCAGTAGCTCTGCTCCTCTCACACTGATGGCGGCTGCAGCGGCGAGAGAGAAGATCCATCCCAGGAACCGATGGCCGCGTTTTGGAATGGGGGGGTGGGGGGGAATCAAAGTGGGACGTCAAAGACAACAGGAGAGACTGGAAGTGCTTAGTAAACAAAGAGGGGCCATGGAGGCGAGAGGCTGGAGTTAGGGGAAGAACAGAAAAAAGGCAGGGTGGGGGGACGGGGTGACTGGGCAGCATCCCTTATGTCTTGAGGGCTGGCCAGCTGCAGGCCCCTTTGGTACATGTTTAGGGCCATGATTAATGACCTAAAGGCCCAGGTCCCCCTCCCAACACCCCGTTCCCCCCCCACCACCAATGTCATCCACGCCACTGGCTGTCAGGCTAATGGACGTGGGCAGACAGGGAGCCCCCAGCCCCCCTCCCAACCCATAACGACAGCCTAAAACTCTTCATTTCCTGACACTCACAAACAGCACTCGCACACCCCCACCGTTACAGAACAGACACTCGAGGTGTCAGTTCTCAGGAATCGTTGGCGGGGTGCGTTTACGTGGTGTGTGTGTTTGTGTGTGTGTGTGGTGTGCGCGCATTACGCGAGATCCGGGCCACATCGTGTGAGAGAGTGAAGGAGAGAGGGAGAGCAGAAGAGGGAGGGAGAGAGGGAGAGAGAGAGAGGGAGAGCACCTCTTGCATGTGCACCGTTCCCAGCCTGTCAGAGCGCTGTCAGCCAGTGATTTATGGTCGTGAGTCTCCAGCCCTTCTTCACTGCCAGTTCAGTATTGTTACAACTGACAGCTAATGAGGCCTGACATGCTTTCAAGCAGAGCACTTAACGGGGCTCCGCTCTCCTCCACTCACAGCCTCCATTTTCCTCCTTTCTCTTCTATCCTCTCTGTTTTTTTCTTTCTTCCAGAAGCAGTGGTGCTGAGAATGACTGCCACCGTCGCCGCCGCCACTCATGGGACAAACACACGGAGGAACAGGCGTGTCACGCAAATGTGCTGCGGAGTCGGTGGCGCGTCACCCAGCCAGGGAGGAAGTGGACACCTTGGGGCTCCCAGACGACATATGAACAGAGGAGGGCTTCCTGGGACTGCATTAAGCCGAACTGAGCCTACAGCTCGGTGTGCTCAGTGTACTGAGACTAACTTATATTGTCATGAAGCAACACTTAAGTATGTTACACTGTGCCAAATCCACACATAGTTGTATTACACTGTGTTGTGTCTACGGTTTGGAATATTACACTATGGAGTGTTACACTACATTGTGTCTACACTCCAGAGTGTTATACTTTACTCAATGCTTTGGTGTATTACACTTTTGGTGTATTTTATTTATACTTTGGAATATTACACTGTATTTTGTCTGCACTGTAGAGTGCAACACTGCATTATGTCTATACTTTGCAGTGTTTCACCGTGTGGAACCCAAAATTAGGTGTGTTACACTGTTTTGTGCTGAACTGTATTATATTCTATAACTGTACTATACATGTACTGTAATCTATATTTTGGAGTGTTACACTGTAGTGAATATACATTTTGGAGTGGTATACTGTATTGTGTTACTCAATGTTTAATATCTAAATTTTGGAGTGTTACATTGTACTGAATCTATACGTTGGTCTGTAAACTTTGGAGTGTTACACTGTATTCTGTAACACTGTTCTGAATTCATCTCTTACTCCTCCCTGCATTTCAGCCATCACAGAACTGAACTGTGTAACAATCGCGCGCTGCTGTACAATTATGCAGACACCCGATGGAGAAACGCAGGCACCCCAGAGGCCCCGACCACAGAGTGACAGCAGGAACTCAGGAAGTGGTCATGATTTAAGATGGGCCCGGCCGGGAGCTCTGGGTGGCCTTTCCAGTGAAAACACGGCGAGCACACACACGCATTCATTAAGAAGCGCAGGCGGCTGAACGCCGATCCCGGTTATTATTACTGCCGCGGGTCGGGTGTTCGCAGCTCCGACCGCAGAGCGCGGCTGCATCTGAACTGAAAACAGGCTTCAACGAACCTTTCTTTTCCTCCACCCCTCCTTCTCGCCAGACCCGGCACTATAATCACTAACAGAGTGCGCTGGCAGCTTCAGCCCCCCCGCCTTAACCCCCCATCCCTTGTCAGCCATGATTAATGGCGGTCCGGTCTGGTGCAGCTTACGTTGCCAGTTTCAGCATTGTTCCCTCGGTACTAAATGAACTCTGACAGACTCCCCCCTCCCCGTTCTTTTTTGTTTAATTGTGCCGCTGAAACTTGCTACAGCGGCACCTATCTGCCAGAAGTCGCGCAGTTAATCTAAAACATCGCTGAAAGTTAAGTGGTTTTAAATAGACCTACTTCCGAAAGGGAAGTGAGGTAGACACTATCACTTAAGAATCATAATTTATCTGTCTCGCTTCTTTTTAAATCCTAAAATAGACAATTAAAACACTCTGCTGTGGTATCCGTTTTTAGGGTGTAAATGATGTGCAAGTTCCGTAAGTGTTGAAATTACCAGCCCATGTTTGTTTATTGTTTCACTTTAAAGCTGCTACTTGTTACCAGCTTAGTCAAAGCAGCGGCAGAACAGCAGATCGACTTAACCTGGCACGTACCATGTGAAAAAGGTGTAATGGTGATGCGTGACGTTGCAGTAATGGACTGCAGAACAGCCATTAGCTAATTAATTTTATATATAGACATGTATATGATACAAAATAGAACAATATAGCTCCATTGCTATGCCCCTGTGATGAAACAACTTCAGATTGATTAGTTTCTTTCCTTCTAACTTCGCTTTACCTGGAAAGTGGTTCCGTTTTGGAAACATTGTGAGTATTGGGGGGGTGGTTATATTTTATCATTGTGTTGTCTTTGTCGCCATCTATTGGTAGAGTGAGTTTCCGGAACTTGGCATAAAGATTTCGCCAGTACTCGCTGGATGGCGCTGCAGACTCACACCTCCAGCGCTTTTATCAGCTACAGCTACATCTACTTCTGCGGCTTGCGTTCTCCCACGGTGTGCATTTGCTTGCACGTGGTTAAGTGGATTTGTTGCTGCCTATAGTGTGTATGTGTATTTTTATGGACAGGAGACCTAGATAAGGATATATTGTGGTTACAGGGACAGGCCATGGAACCCAGCGTTCCACAATTAAGTCACTCCAGCTACTATACTTCTTAAAGAATGACACATCCAGTCAGTATATAATAGGAGTATTACGGGATTATAAATTATCTTTGAAGAAACATTTTAAGAACAACATCCTATTTTAACCAGATGATTAAAGAGGTTAAGTTATGTGTATTTGCAATTTTATGGGCAATATAAGCTTGTGGGTGTGAACATAGCTTATGGGCTTTCCTGCACAGAACCACAAACACAATTCATAACACTAATCTAATGCTTAAATGTTATTAAATCAGGTAGTTTGGTGGCGTAATGGTCTCACACCTTTTAAGTTGTGGGATCAAAACCTCTCCCTGGCTTTGTGTGTGTGGACTTTCTCACACTCAAGGACACTTTACAATAAAGACAGATACAATACAATACAATACAATTAAGTCACAGCAACAGCAAAACATCAATGAGAATGTTACGTATTGGTAGAGACATAATAGCATTCCTGAAATAAATGAGTTTTCAACTGGAGCTTGAAGATGTTAACAGACTTTACCTATCGCAGACTGTGAGGAAGTGCATTTCAGAATATAGGTGTTGTGATACAGAACGCCCTGCCGCCCATAAAGGATAATCTGAATATAGGTACAGGAATAAGGTTGGAGCCCAAACATCTTTGTGTGGGATGGAGTGTAAGGAAGAAGAAGGTCAGACAGATATTGAGGGGCAAGTCCATGGAGGACTTTGTAGGTGATCAGTAATGTTTTAGATTTTATTCTATAAGTGACAGGCAACCAATCATGAAGAAAAGGAGAGATGTGAAAGTTTTTCTCAAATGTGTAAGTAAACAGGCAGCAGAGTTCTGAACATACTGTAGTCTGTTGAGACGTATTGAGGATTTTTTTATTGTATAGGAAAAAATATGCTGGGATTTATTAAACCCTCTGGGTATCAATGCAAACCAGCAATGACCACAGAAGACCATAACTGGTTGTCAGCACTAGTAGCCCTCAAACTCTGAGATCTGCAAATGTGCAGGACAGTCACGAGGATTTAGGTTTGTGACAAAAATCCCTTGACTTGTCAGCCCACTCTTAACACAACCTTGGGTACTGATATGGACTGTTTCTACACTCAGTCGTCTCCAGTCATGGTGACTGATAGCCAGAGGGCAGACAAAGGAAGAAATGCAATGAAGTCAAGGTGGGCACTGGCCAGACAAACACTTTTCAAACCCTGGCAGAAAAACAAATGCAGAAAAAATTATATTGTTTTAAGCCTGTCATTCGATGCAGCCGACTGATCAGGTTGCTTTTCTGGGTCATTATTAATTCAGCTCAAATGTTTATCTCTTTTTCAGGAAGAATATGTTTCCAAAGTGTTTAAGGCTCTTTCCACACTTATCCCATAGCCTGGAAGCCAGATAGTACCCCTCTGTCACACAGCCATTCCTCTTCCCAATGGACTGGGTTTCTGAGGACTGGGAACTTACTAGGAAAAACTGCACTAAGGAAACACGTGACCCGTGGTTAGTCAACCAACAGCTCATAGCTGGGGGTGATTCAGCTCACAGCTGTTGTCCATTCTTTCTTTCTTTATTTGACTTCCATCATCCATCCATTTTCTATAACCACTTGTCCTATTCAGGGTCCATTCACTCACACATGCACACCTAGGGGCAATTTGGTAACTCCTATGTTTTTGGACTGTGGGTGGACCAGAATGCATGCCCGGAGGAAACTCAATGATGACATGACAGAGACTCGAACCCTGTTCCAAGAGGTGTGAGACAACAGAGCTAACCACGCAGTTAATCTAGATTACAGTCCGATAAACAGTCCTCTTTTGCTTAATTGTACAAATTCCTGCTCGCACAAATTTCGGGTTTATTTTTCTGTCGAAAGGGGAGGGCGGTCGTAATACTATATTTACGGTATTACAGCTTCTCACAAGAAGCTTAAAGATTAATATCTTCCCAGCCAGCCTCAAGACCCTGACTTCAATGAAATAAGAGAACATTACCGGACACGTTCAAAAGTAGTAAACAAAATAATTTTATTAATACAATAGTACCATATGAAAAAAACATTTCTTTTGTAAAACTTAATAAGTCTCAAGCAACTTAACAGGTGACGCCAAGAAAATTAAATATGTCTTTCTGCCATTATCAGGAGAAGTCTGGTGAAGTTAGTGACTAACTGCTCTGTGACCTTGTGTTATCATATCATGCTGAATAAGCAAAGCTTGAACTACGTCAGTTAGGTCTGTATTTACATTTATGAAGCCTTCAGATCGCCTGAAAATTACACTGAGAAGCTTGACGGGCGATTTCCAATATTTCCCGATGATGCAGCACCAATGAAATAGAATTTCACAGAGTAATTACATCGCGATTTTCATTTTATGTCATACAGCAGGTGGCGTAGTAGTTAAAGCAGTTGAAGTTTTGACTAGGTTGTTTCAGACTAGGGGTATAATTCCAGGAAGAGTACTGAAATAACTAACTGTATAACTAACTATAAAAGGTGGGTGGAACTAACCGGTTTTGGTAAATATTGCCAGATAAACACTTGAATATATACTTTATAAGACGGGTAGTCAATTTTCTATAACACTTACAAGTGAATAATCCGCATGTCATTGTAAAACCATTAAACGATTTCTGTGAAATGTGAAATAACGCCTTTAATCTATCCCCATGATTTAAGGCCACATGTTACAGAAAAGCGTTGGTTGGTAAATCGAACATAACTTCATCTGAATTTACAGTAATCGGCCTATCCGGTTACTGAGCTGTATCAGGCAAACGCTAGTAACGTTACCCGGCTGATTCATATTTAATCACAGAGCTAAAGCCTGTACTGCAGATAAGCAAAAAAGAAAGAGAAGGAAAGCAGGTAACGGGGGAGGCGTTAAATGCGTACTATTTTCCTGTAATGCGTGAAGTTTCCTGGGAAGCTCGTCCTTTCCCTTCCTCTGGATACGTCCCTCCCCCCACCGTGTTTTAACTTCGGGGCGGTGGAAGGGCTCCAGCTCAGAGGACGCTTGGCGGGGGAGGGTTAGGGCCGGACGCAAATGAGGGAGACTGGGGCAGCGGTCAGTGGCCGGCGACATGGTGCTGATCACCGAGCAGCTGCAGGCAGCCACGGCTTCGCCCCTTACGCCGGATGAGGCGAGATCCGCTAAGACGGCCAGGAAGGATGCCAGAGGGATTCACTCAAAGTACGTCCGCCTCGCAAACTTTTTTTTTTGGGGGGGTGGTGGTTTTATCATTACACTGTAACGGTAAGGCCTAAAAACGCTACATTTTGACGCCGGTTTGCAAAGTGTTGTCTTTGTGCTTTATCCTTTGTCTCCGGGAGCGCCTGGTGCAGCCGATCGTCGGCGATTCCAGATCTTGTGTTTCGCCATTTAAACCCCCCTGGATCTGGTAAAAAAAAAATGGGATTTATCCAGCGGATGTTGGCTGCTTGTGATTCCCGCAGCGAGCGACTAGGCGACCGTGGACGTGGACCTGGTCCCTTTGCATGCATTGATAAAATTTCCGGTTGACGTTGGTTTATTTTCTCCATCGACCCGCACCTAACTTTGAAAAATGCAAATGACTAGTTAGGATCGATTAGCTTAAATGCATTAACTTTGATGTGTGGGGGGCGAGTAAAGCAGTTTGAGGAAGCGCAACAGGCGTGCATTGGATTGTACGGGGCCGTACGGGCTTGTTGTTTGTTTATCACGGATGTTTGATGTTTTGACGAGCAAACATGAAACAGCCTTTTGAACCTAGAGGAACTGCAATATGATCCTTAAATACCACTGTGCTTTGGCTTCTCTCGCATTTCTGTCAGACTGCTACCGTATTTTCCCTTGAAGCCATTTAAACCCGCAGCTGACACTGGCGTTAAATGCTGATAATCGCATTATTTTTTTCCCCGTGAATTAGCAAAAAATCCTGCATACGAAATCTTTGCCCATATAGGGGTATATGGGTGGGCATAAAATGATTTGAATTGTATCAAATAATCATTTTAAGTATGAAAGTGAATCGGGTTCATTTTTCCTCCAAATTACTATAGCCTGGGCTGATATTTAATCATATTGTACACGATGTATAAACCCGTACATCAGCCTTTTTTTTACTGACTGAGGAACAAGTGTCACCTAGTCTTCTGTTCAATTTACCAGTTAAACCCCGTAATTCTGTAACGCAGTTCCGAGGCCGATAATGAGGACAGATTCAAGAGAAGCGGAAAATCCCCCGTTGTCCTCGACGTGTCAATAGAAACCGAGCCGGACACCTCGGAAATTAGGAAGAAACCGTCACTTCTAAGGTAAGGTCCCCCATCCCTACTGTGCGGCTTTAAAAGCACCTGGTGACACCGGAATCTCACCTTTTAAGAAAAGGCAAAGCCTGAAATGCTCTAAACTCCACTACAGAGCCAGGGGAAGACGGGGGCAGTGTTTCCCAGTCCGGTCCCCGGGGACTCACAGACAGTCCACGTTTTTGCTCCCTCCCAGACAGTCCACATTTTTGCTCCTGCCAGGAGCTGGGAAGGAGCAAAAACGTGGACTGTCTGTGGGTCCCTGAGGACAGGATTGGGTATGTAGCATGTTATATGTTTAAATAGTGCAAGCAAGTCGACACTGAGGATACAGACTGTCAGTTTGAACTCTGTTAATAATAATAATAATAATTGATACTGTCTCCCTACAACACTAGACTAGTATGTAGCTGTGTGTGTTCAGAGCTCTGATGTTGACATGCGAACAAGGTTTACATAACCACGACTGGTAGGTTTTAGGTTACCCCTCTGCTCTGTGTGACAACACAGGTTACTTTGATCTGATCTTAACTCTGGTGCCAATTCAGAGTCCAGCAGCTGAAAGTGAAATTTGTGTTTAATGTTTTCCACAATGAAATTGTTTTGAGCCCTTAATTATCCATGTGCATGTTGTAAGAAAAACCAGGGGATTTATTCTTACATATGTGATTTTGTTTTTGTTTTCCCCTTTCTGTCCTTTTAAGGTCGAAGGGTATCGATCCGCTTCCCTTGTTGCAAAGTCCAAGTGATTATGAAGCCAAGCTGGAGAGGAAGAAATCTCAGTCTACCCAGGTCGGTGTTTTCTTTAATGTAAATAAATTTTATTTACATTTAAATACAGCTTTAATCAGTTCATTTAACTGCATTTAAATTACTCCTCTTCAAGGGACAGAGAGAGAGCCTTAAAGAATTTCAAATGATTCCAGTGAAATAAATAGACAACTGAAGCTGAGCAGAATAATTTTAAACAGTCTATCACCTTAAAATGCTGCTTATTGTTTAATAAACCTGCAGTTCATCGCTGTGCAAAGCAAAGGGTTGCTTTTGCCAACTGGACAGCAACACCACATGCAGCACCTCTTTGGACTTTAATCAGTCCTGCCTGATACCGGCCGATATCTGGGCCATTGTCTCGTTTAATAAAACAGGTTCCGCTCGACTCTTTATCTATAAAATCCTTGAAAAATGTCACATGCTGCTGCAGATGCAGGATTATCATTTAATTGCTTTCTTTTTAGCAGAATATAAAATTATGTAATATTTAGGTTGCTGCTGTTTTGGGTTTTATTGGTTCTTTTATTGGGTTTTGTGCGTACGATTATGGTTTTTTCTCCTTTCTCTCAGTTTTCCAAGACAAATGCCCAGTATCACAAGCTTTTTAAAGAGGTCAGTAAAGATGAGCCCCTCCGACAAAGTAAGTGAACTCTGCCATCTTTTCATTTCTACTCTTCATCTCTGTTTGGGATTTTAGGTCCCTTGTTTAACCTCTGGTGCCTTTTTTTCTCTACAAATGTCTGGTCTGTTCCGTTAAATTCTGTTCATTCTGTTAAATCGGCCACCTTGTCATGAATAAATCTCATTTAGCGTGCTGGATGTATCACTTCTGTGTTATGAATGCTTGGCTGGTGATGCAGGGAGATGGGGTTGGACGTTAGGACCTGGGGAATGAAATCCAAGGTATTAATTTAGGCCTCTCCTCTCTTCAGGTTACACCTGTGCCTTGCAGAAAGACATTCTTTACCAGGGAAAGATGTTTGTCTCCGAAAACTGGATCTGTTTCCATTCCAAAGTCTTTGGAAAGGACACCAAGGTATCACAAAGGTTTCCCGCTGTGGCTTTAGACATGTATATGTTTCTGTGAGTGGGAAAGCCCGCTGGTTTAAAAAAAGTCTCTCCAGCACTGACTATTTTCATTCCCCTCCGTTATGTAGATAGCTATTCCGGTGCTCTCGGTTACCTTCATTAAAAAAACGAAGACTGCCATCCTGGTGCCAAATGCCCTGGTCGTTACCACCAGCAGCAGTGAGCGGGTGAGTGAGTGAAGGTGTCTGAGTTCCTCTCCTCCCCTGCCTGAAGATCTGAGGTGCTAATCGGCCGACCCTGTGTCTGCAGCACGTTTTTGTCTCATTCCTGTCCCGCGACACCACCTTCAAGTTCCTGAAGACCATCTGTGTTCATTTAGATGTAAGTAGTTCCCAGAGCATATAGACTCCTTTTCACATCTAAATGTGGTTCTGAGTTAAGATACCGTTTTAGTTTGTTTCTTGCTGATAAAATGGTTCTATGATTGGGGAACTTGGTTCCTGGATTAGGTGGTTGTAAAACTCCACTACAACTCCAAGATCTATTTGTCTTAAACTCCCCTCTAAAAGAGGGGACACAGAACACAGAACTTAAAATAGACCTGAGGAATGTAAAGACGTTTTTAAGTGTACAGCAAAAGCAAATGACGAGTCGCAGTGTGAATGTTAGTTAGGATGGACGTTGTTGCTTCGCTTTGCCGTGCTGACGTTACGCCCTAGCTGTCCTTGCAGGATGAATTAATCCGGCACATTCTGTCGTGTTTCCAGGGAGACAACGTGGGCAGCAGCCCCGCCCCCTCGTCTGCGGAGAGCAGTTTCAGAGCCACTCGGCCCTCATCTCTCCCACTGGTCAGTACCCATTTTTATGTCCTTTCTAAAGCTAATAAGAATTTAAACAGTCTACTCTCTAACCTCGAAGAAGGTGAAGACCCTAGGTTGATTGGCAGGGGGTTGGAAATGTGATGTGAGTGGTCATGGTCTTCCCACCTACAACACATTGCCTGTTCTGTCTGCTGTTGTCCAGAATAGTCGAGTCCCCAACCAATGAGGTGCGGCATCTGTTCCTTGCAGGGCTTTACTGGGGATTTCGCGGAACTGGACGGCGTGGTCCGGCAGCGGAGGCAGGAAATGCTGGAGAGCAGCAGCTCTGGATCACAAACCCCAGACTACGAGAAGATGGCAGGTATGTCTTTGTACCACTTCTCTGACCCCGTACCTGTCCTGCACAAATGAAGGTCCTTCAGATTTCTTAAACCATTTGTAATTTTGACACAGACAACCAGTATGCTTTTTTGATTCGGTAACTATTTCTGTCGGTTGAGTGTGTTTTGATATGGAAAAGCTGCATGTTTCTTTTTTAAATTAAGTTACTAATTTAAGGAGAAATTGTGGGTAAAAATCGGTTTTCTCTTCAGATATTTGAACGTGAAACATTTTTTCACGATAATGGTCACACAGGCCGGTGAAAAATGGCCCAGGCGTTTGCTGAGGTGTTGCCTGTGGCATCATATGTGGAGCTGATGGGATAACAATTGTTCTACATCCACCCAAAACTCTAGGAAGTGTTAAAGCACTGAGGCATTTACATCTTAAGCGCGACTTAATTGCTCATCCGTAAGGCAGCATCTTGCTTGTAACCCATGACAACGCAGTATTGGGAACTTTTTCTTCGCCAGACGGTGGTTGGGCGTGACGGGCATTTGATACTAAGCCCGTGTAAACGGGAACACAAGCAGCACCCTGGCATGCATGGGCAGGCGGGTCCACGTGACATTTCCTGCTTGGCGGGTTCAGGCAATCCATCAAATCCACCCCCCCCCTCTCTCTCTCTCTTGCCTGTTGTCAAGAATTTCCCAGCCTGCCACAGAATTTCCTCAACGGCCAAGTGGCGGTGCACGCGGATATACACCGGCAGCAGACCCCAGACCCTAAGCATACCCCTCATCGCAATGGTACGTCCCCTCGGCCATTTCTCCGATGCGGGTCCCAAAAAACCGGTCATTGTAAAACCCCCGTCCGTCCACTGTGTGTCTGCCCAGGTTTGGCCCCAGTGATGGCAGCTACACACGACCATAAGCCGTCACAAACTGTCTCGCTGAACACCCTCCTCTTCATCTATTTGTTTTTGTGAGTTGGATTTTTTTTATTTTTTTTTAAATATATATATTGACGTCAACGTTTGACTTGGGCAGTCTGAGGTGGTCAGATTCTGCCATCGCTATTGACGCTCGGCGGAACCAAAACGGGTGTCTGTCCCACCGTCCCTCCTGACCAGGTCGATGCTCTTCCTCCCCACAGAGTGTGTGTCCTGGTCCTGTCCTCATGTTATATGGCCTTTAAGATAGTGGCTCTGGAGCAGCGGTTGAATTCACTGAGGTCTTTGACGGAGTTCCCACACAATGAGTAAGAATCCTCTAAATCTCCCCACTGCTGTTTTTGCTTATATTTAAACTGCAGTCATTTAGATAAAACTTTGGATACAAATATCCTGACACAATTCAAATGAAGGTAACCTTAGCTTGACATTCTCAGCAGAACCCTTCGTACAGTTCAAATGGGCATCCTTCAGATATGTTCTTTTCCTTCAATCCTACGTCCTGGCCTTGTCTCTCCTAACTAGACTTGTCTTGCAGCCTTGAGTAGATGTTACATATGGTTGAAAGCTGCCATTTTGAGCTGTAAACCTTTCCGTTGTAGGAATATTCTGCATCAGAAGTCCCAGACGGAGTTTAGCGCAGAGATCTACGGAGAGTTGTCGACCAATCTATTCAAGCTAGAGAAGGTACATGCCTAAGCCTTGTGGGAAATCTTTTTGTTTACTAAATATGGCATCCTGAGGCTGCTGAGGGACTTGGCGCAAGTAAAACCCAATAACAGGACTGTTTTTTTTTTTTCTTTCTTTTTAATAGAAAGTCATTAGTAAGTCATTTATAGCAAGCCGTCTCGCCTATGGCTCGCGTGAGGTGAGCTGCTCGTTTTAGATTAACGGCGGTTAACCAGCATGTGTGAGACTGCGGTCTGGCATTTACGATCTAAGGTATGAAGTAAGTAGGTCTTGGGAAACGACGGCAGTTTTGGGTTTATGTATGTGTATATTGCGCGTGCACAAAATAACGGAAACGCCACATTAAAAATGACTTGAACTTAATTACAAATAGCAGCACAGATACAAAGGTGAGTCGTTAGGTTGGCTGCCGATTAGTAGTGAGCAGTAGCTATGAAAGAGGTCTGAGGATCAGCACTTTCAAAGCCGCTCGAGAGCCGTTCAGTGCGTGTGGCAGTGGCACACCCAGGATGTTCTGGAAGGATTATATCACAATAGCTGGCTGGGGAACATCTGGAGATCCCCCACCAGAAAAAAGAAGCCTTGGAAAGAGAGGAACTGCTGGGATCTGCTCAGCATTCAGAGGCTCCAAAGCTCATGAGCATTTGGGGCGGCACAATATCGCATTGCGATTATATGATGTAGGTGCAATAATTTGACGGTGCGTTTCAGTACTATATCGACATTTACTTACGCCCACAATTTGGTAAGGATATTAGTAGTACGCCTAAAATATTAATGAGTTAGTAATCTGTATAAATGCAGCGTATCCTCATGTTAAATAAACATGGCGGACTTTTAACTCCAAAAAGTACCACCACACCATTGACGTCTGTTTTGTTAATCCTCCTCTTTCAAAAGATGTTGTGGTTGCTGAGCTGCCCCTTTCTTCACCACCTCTTCAGTGCTTATAAATTGCTTTCATGATTTACCAAAATAGTAGCATGTGGCTCCACTAACTAAATTTACTAAACGTAAGGGTATGCCGAATGTATACGGATTATTAACTTTTTGGTGTCACAAAAAGCATTAATATTTTAGGTGCACTATTAATCTGCTTACCAAATAGCGAGTGTAAGTAAACGTCCATATAGCCGGCATCCGGACAAATGTTTCATCCGGTTTCATCTGAAGCCCTGGTGATTATTGCGCATGTGCCATAGAATCGCCATTAAATGATAATGTTATCATGCAGCCCTACCCAGTAGCACCATTTCAGAGATGTGATGGGAGAAATGCATTCGAAAGATGCTGAATATTTGCATCATTGGCTTTCCCAAAGCTGGCATCTGCGGCAGTGCTGCTGCTATTGGGAAACCACTTGCGTCTAAGGCCGGTGCGGAATGAGCCATGACCTACAGTGGGGCCCACAGAACGTGGATCCTGAGCAGTAGAAAGTCTACCTTTAATGCACGAGGTTTGCTGTTGAACACTGGAGTATCGAGTCATGAAGTGGGCGTTATCCGGTTCCATGCTTATTGCATGGTGGTATTATGGCCTAGGAATACGAGGCCGTTGCACGTGGCCAGGTGTAGCCCATGGTGCAAACACTGTTCGCTCATGTTATTCCCAAGTTCTAAGGAAATTCCCTCATAGACACTGCCAAAGAAGTCAGCGGTTTCATGAACATCTGTCTGAAGTCAAACACCTTCCATGAAATCCACAAGCTGTAGATCTAAATGTCATTGAACTTTTATTGGAAGTTCTGGAGAGCAACGTGTGAGGTTGATTTCCACTTTCTCTGTCTCCTGAAGAACTGAAGCCTTTTTTTTCCTTAAATGGTCAAATATCCTACTATATCGTACTGTTTTTATGACTGTCATAAGTTGACAAAAGTTGACCCTACTTCTTTAATATATGTATATAATATATACACACACACACACACAAAGCAAAAACCAACAATGTAGGATGTTGTTAATTTTACTTTTTCAGGTGTTTTCTGACCTATTTTTCCTGTCTTTCCCATTTTCAAAACTAGATTCAGAAGAATTTGCAGAAGCTTCTAGAAGAGACCTGAAGATTCTTCTGCTGCCAACACTGGATGGGCTCTGGGGAGTTTGTTAGGGTGCATCACTGACTTTTTAAAAGTACAAGCCTTTCTCTAGAAGGTGAACAACAAATTTTAATGGTGCAATAATTTTTCTTCCGTACTCTTCAGCTGTCTCAGGACTTAAAAGTGCACTGTGTACCCAATAAATCTCTCCCCAGTTCATAAAAAAGGACCGAATGGACAAACAAGTAAATTTGCTTTCACTTTTACAAGCACCTCTTTAAGAGATGTTTAAACAAGACTCTGCAGTGAGTATCTGCTGCAAATGAAGCGTCTCTTCATGGAGATCCCCCCTGTCCCCCTCCCACCTGGGGACAAAACCGGCAGCTCACGTAGCCGGTGTGTCCGCGCGCCAACACAGCGCTCGTTCAGGATTACGATGCATTAACGATTTCAGTTTATTGGTCAGCTCCTTATTCCGGCGCTGGAAATGAAATCCGTATTGCGTAGGTTGTATATCGCTTCCGTTTTAAGAATTGTGATGTCCAGCTTAATTTACCGTGCTTAATGATAAGCTGTGAGAAATCGGGAAGCTTTTTCTCCCCTTTTCTGCGAATTCAAAGAAAGTCTTGTGTGATTCAAAGTGCACTTGTTTTGCTCAAGTCTCTAACTTCCTCAATTCTCTTTGACTGGTGTATTAAGAGCGGTGTTAGTGTTTGTGTTTGCAGAATGAACATTTCCACTGTATTATTGCGCTGCTTTTTGGGGGGGGGGTGTTTGCATGTGCGTGTTACTGTGTTCCATACAGACAATTTGTTTTTCACTGGTCTGTACGATTTCAAAAGCCTTAACTGAGTGTCGGTAAAAGGGGGTCTTCTATCTCAGTCAGGCATATTTTCTTAATCTTTTCTTATGGACAGTCTTTGCTTGCCAAGTTATCTGTGTAACAGAGTCCGGCAATAAATAGATCTACTGTAATGTATATGAAATAATTTATTCCTTCTATGACATTTGGCAAATTCTGTTAAATCAGATGTGGTGATTCATGGTATCGCTGCTTATGATATAGATTTTGTCTATGAATTGAGATCTTTTTGAGTTATGGAGTTTAGGCAGATATCATGCCTGTACGAGAGACGGTGCATGCTGCTTCAGTCGCCAGCATAACTTTCCATCTCCTGCCTTGTTGGTCAGGCTTTTTCTGTACTGTTTTGGTCCATTGCACACTTACAGGAAATGTGTAGTGTTCATTTTAAAGCGGGTCACACCTTTTGTCATTCTATTGTCAGAAGGATAATGAAAAGTCTCCGGTATTCATACAAGTAGCCACGCCTCAAACTCTTTGACAAAATGAAACCATATACTATCTGAAGTGTTTTAGAGAAATCTGTCTATTCATCTATCAGTTACCACTGCTGTGTGGTATCGTGAGCAGCCTTTGACTTATCCCGGCCTGCACAGGGCAGGGTTACACCCTGGATGGAATGTCAGTCTATCACAGGGTATTTTACAGAAATGTCTACAAAGAAAATTAGTGCCACTGAACTTGTTTGGCAGACTGCCCCCTGCTGGTGGGGCTGGGTGTGGACACCCTTATTATGCCTTTCAGATAAGAGGTTGAACTTGGTGTACTACATCTTTTTTTGGACTTTAAACAACTCTTCTGAGACAAGCTCAACAGGTGGAAAGTTCAGGTTCACTATGTACAAAATTCAGACAAAGATTGTGTTTCAACCAACCAGTTGAGTACTCTGTCAGTATGCCACCCTATATTCCACTAGCTGTTTGAAACAAAATCTTGGTCTGGATTTGTACTGAACTTTCCACCTCTGAAGCCTAGAACATACAGTATAAAGCTTATATACCTTTACAGTTCCTTTGATTAATCGCCTATTTTTAAGATGAACAGCTTATTTTGAAGCTGGTTTTCAAAGGATTTACGTTTCTAACAGACTGAGGGGCTTAAGCTACAAATCTGCAAGGACCTAACCCTACCTAAAATTATGACTTAAGTATGACAATCCATAGAATGTCAGTGACTTAAGAGTGTTTTTCCCCATTTGAATGACCGTTCAAACACTTTTTTTTCAGGGCAAAATCACAAAACGAATCACAAACAGTAAGCTACAAACATACCTGAAAAGGCATGGATTATTTGTACAGAACTTGGAAATGGAAGGCAGATCTCACACAAATTGTCCGATAATATACACTTCATGGTTTACATCTTTTCAAGGCAGCTACAGTTTCATGTTGAAGTCACAGCAGTACACAAAAAAACTGCTCAAACTGCAAATGTAGTTGGACCTACTGAGAAAAAGGTTTGTATGATTAGTGTTCGAGCCCATTTTCACATTTGTCCAGTAATATATAAAGAAGGAAATAAGCCAGTGAGGTTTAGTGGGAGTAAAATCCAGGGTTTTGCCGTCCTGCCAGCGTGGGAAGGGCAGGTTCCCCATCACGTCACTCAAACTTGATTCCCTGGGCTAGGGGAAGGTCTTTGCTGTAGTTGATGGTGCTGCAGGGATAAGGACGGCCAAATTTGTTAGTAACTTGGTCTGTGATGTGTCATTTGTGGTCGCAGTCCATTTAGAATGTAAAATTAAATCCAGCTTCATTTCAGTGGATTTTTTGGCTAGGGGGCAGATAATGGGGGAATGGTTGTTTATGGGTCAATTAAACTCCTGTGTCATTTAGGGACATATTTTGCAGGCAATGATCTCAACGGTTCTGGAATATACATTTGGGCCTGTGAATTAGCTTCACAGTTGGTTTAGAGTTGGATACGCACCAGGTGGACCTCCTCATGTACTGCTTCCAGGAGTCGCTGCCTGATTCTCTCCCACCTCCGGTGTGTTTTTCCCCTCCTTAAATAAAAAAATAACAAACCACAGCATCACCAACAGGTCAGCATTTACTGCCATAAGGTGGCGCCAGTGGCACCGTGACGCTGAGCCAGCCCGCTCACCAAAGGCGCCTCCGATCTCGGCCCCGCTGGTTGGAATGTTCACGTTCACGATCCCGCAGTCGGATCCTTTGGGGCTGGAGGAGCCCAAATGGAGAAATTACATCCAAAATGTCCAAACCACTAGGAGGAAGCCAATTTCAGGGTCAGAGCATGATTGTTCTCACCCAAGCCAGCGGAACACGCGGCCCATGTCTTTGGTGAAAATGCTGCTGGACAGCCCCTGCTTGACCTCATTGTTCCAGGTGAAGGCTTCCTCCTCGCTCTGCCATGGGACAGAAGTTAGCAGATGCATCAGATGCCGAACAAACAGTCCTCTGGACAAGGTGGCGTGTTTTAGAGTTTGTTCGTATTAAGCATGTAAAGTAAACTGCACAGGCAACTCCCATGAAATTCTACTCTGGGCCTCTGACAATGTCCACATAAACTTAGTCAATGCTATCTTCAGAATTACGTTTACATTACACGTATTTATGGTTCTGAACTAGACTGATCTTTCTATAGGTATTCATTACTCTCTCCAGAGTAGGACATCTCAATGAACCCTGTAGCTACACGCAAGCAGGGGTCAGTTTCAGGCGTTGGTGTCAAGCAGGTGCTGACCTTGAACTTCAACACATAAAGGATGGGTACAAAGGTCTCCGTTTGCACAATGGGGGCGTCGTGCGCCAAGCCGGTGATGATGGTAGGTTCCACATAGTTTCCGGGACGGTCCATCACCTGGGGGTAAGAACAGAAGAATGTTTCCAACACTGACCAACATGCACTGAATTACAACCTGCTAGAGGTCATGGCAATGTTTGTGTAAACATAAAGGATATATAAAGGATCAAGATTAAGGTTAATGCTAAACTTTATAGGTTTTTCGCTCCTGTCAGCTGAGTCTTAGAGTTCTGGTTGTTAACACACTCACCTTTCCTCCATACACAATAGTTCCTCCCTGCTGTTTTGCTTGATCCAAAGCCTGCTTGTATTGTTCCACAGCCTGTTTGGTGTGGAGTGGTCCGTACAGTGTGTTTGCTGTTGGCACGAAAAGCAGTCGTGATCCACATAAATGTAATTACTTCCAGTGAGCCAGGGTGGTTCTAGAAAAGAATTAACCCTCTGAAGTCTGATTCAGTTACACCTTAGTTGACAGGAGGCTTTCTTAGTTTCTAGTAAAATAATAGCAATAAAACAGTTATTGAGTATGTCTGTTACCACACAGGTGCACTGCCATCATACAGATGAAAGGGCTTCTGAAGAGGTAATGAACTCACGGTCCCAGGGGTCACCGATGCGGATTTGTTTGTACGCTTTGGCTATTCTCGCCACGACGTCATCGTGAACGCTCTCGTGCAGCATCTGGAAGAGATGCACCAACACGGGATCTGTGTTACATTAGTGTTGAGGCTGCCTGAGAAAATACTGTTTGGCCCCAGACCAGTTAATGAAACCGCAGTACGGAGCGGTGGACCGGAAGCCGACGCCCCTTTATCTTACCAGCCTCCTCGTGGTGGTGCAACGCTGACCCGCGGTTCCCACCGAGGCGAAGACTGCCGAGGGGACGACCAGGTTGAGGTCTGCGTCTTCGAACACTGATGGGAGAAGAGAGGAAACACAAATGCAACCATGAGAAAACCATCAAGAGTCAGACAACATTATTTTGGACAACCTCTGTCGAGTGGAGCCCCCGTCAAAGTCATACGATGAACGACCGATGGAAAAAATGGAATAAAATTTACCTATAATAGCATTGTTGCCCCCCAACTCCAGCAGCTGACGGCCTAAGATACAGGAAGGAAGGGGAGAGATGTAAATACTAAGGCCCTGACTACTGTTCAGTCAACTGAGCTTCTGCATGGCAAGGTCCAGACTCACCAAACCTCTCCTGTACCATCAGGGACACCTTCTTCCCCACATGAGTGCTGCCGGTGAAAGAGACCAGGCCCACACGCTCATCTTTTGCTAGTGCCTCCCTGTGGACAGAGGGTGCAGAATGACAAACGAGTTAAACCAATCAGTGATTGGCATAGTATGGTGATCCCACCCACCTTGGCTTTCAGAGTCATTTCTCCATTTAGACTGGCATCCCTTCCAGGGTGCAGCCCTACTTCTAGGCCTGTGCTGCCTGAGATTGCTCTAGGCCCCTACACAACTCTGAGAAAGATTAGTGGCTGGAAGACTTTATGGATGGATACATGGACGAATGGATGGATCTCATGACCATATTTAATCCTTCCCATCAACACATCAGTTGAGATGGTTTCATCTCAAAGAAATTAATCTTATCCATTTATACAACTGGACTACTCACTGGTATCGGAACAATATATTAATGTTACAAGCCTTTGCAAAGTACAAGATATCTTTATTGTAACTGTACAAGTTCAATGAGACGTCGTTTGGATCAATCCTGCAAAGGCTTTAATAAAAACTATATAAACAAACAAACAAATAAATTGCATACAGCAATGTAGAAATACAAAAACACAGTACTCAGTCGAAAGTATAACAGGAATACTGGACATGAATGGTTGAGAGGTGTGGCATTACTGCAAGATAATGACCATGATCAGCAGTATTGCATGGTACTATGGATTACATACTGTGACTGTGAACTACATGTTACACACGTAACATAAGGATACTTAACATGAGGAACTTTTGGAGGAACCGCCACCTCACCTCTGGAAGCTGCAGAACACCCCTACACCAATGTGCGAGACTCACCCAATGTCGGCACCGCCGCAGGTCATGGAACAGATGGCTCCAGGAAGGTTGTTCTGCTCCAGCACCCCGGCCACGATTCTGTAAGATGAGAGACGCAACCAAGTAGGAGAAGAAGCGGGGAGAGTCCAGCAGGTCCAGCATCAGCCCTCAGCATGACCATCTATACTCAATGTGGTGAGCCCTACTGCTCTCGAAAGAGCACAAAAGATGCTCAAGGGCTAAGACTATCACAAAAAGACCCCGAAGCACTAATGGATGCACTACTGTGACCAAAAGCTCTTCCTTAACTCTCCTAATATAAAAGT